GCGCTTGGGTGAGGGTCGGGGTGGGGAAGACTCTGGCCCTGCACCCTGGGGACCCTGGCTGCTCAGAAGGCGGATAGAGAGCGTGCGGTCCGTAGCCTCTTCCCACCCCATGCCGGCTGCCGGGCCCTGCACGTGGGGCCAGGTTTGAGTTTCGGTCCTGTGCTGTCCGATGGGAACGGAGAGGCTTGGGTTCAGAGCGCTCGCTGGAGGCAGCTGTCCGCACCCAGCTGGGCTGCACCCAAACCCTGCCCGGAGAAACGCACCCAGGGCCCCGTCCCTTGCTAGCCTTTGGCAACTTTTATAGATGGGTTTTTCTCCCATCAGCACCGGAGGTTGAACTCAGGGCCTTTGCACTGAGCTCCATCCCCCGCCCTTTAAATTTTTTTACTGCGTTGTCCAAGGTTGTCCAAATTTTAACCCTCCTGCCTCAGCCTCCCCCCCAGTAGCCGGGGTGACCGCCATGCACCATCGTGGCCCGGTGGGATATCAGCTTTAACTCATGCCATCTGCAATAGCCTGATTTCGGTCATATTCTGAGGTTCTGGGGGTCAGGACTTTCACATATAAATTTGGGCACACAAATCACAGATCTACACAGCAGAGCTGGCCTGGAGCCAGGCAGGGCCCCTGCTGGGAAGGCTGCTCTGTGCTCCCTCTGCCTTGCTTTCTGGGAGCCCTGATCCTGCCCAGCCCCAGGAAGGAGGAGCCAGTCGGGGCGGCCGAGGACACAGCCATGCTGCTGGCTCCTCGGTGGCCTGGGGCCAGATGGGGCAGAGGGAAGTGCCCAGTACCATCTGCAAAACAGATACTGTTCTGAGAAAGTGCTATATGCTTCCTCGAAGCTTGTGGGAACGGCATGGTGGGGGCTCTGCTAACCTGGGGAGAGGCCGGGGGGCTCCTTGCCTCCCGTTTTGGCTCAGTCTGAGGTCCCCGGAGGGAGGCCTTTTTCTCCCTGTGCCCCGGCAGAGAGTGGAGAGAGTGCCTGGGGGGAGGGGCGGGGAGAACAGAAGGACACAGACAGACGTGCACGGGACAGGTCTCAGGAAGGATGTCACAGAAGCCAGCACGCAGGCGCACGGGGCGTGGTCTAGGCCAAGGTGGGCTGAGGAGGGTGGGGGAGGGGATTGAAACCGCCCCCAAAGAAATAATATCCAGAACCAAAAAAAAGAAAAGAAAAGAAAAGAAATAATATCTAGATGTGTCCGAGACAGCCACGACTCGAGAAGACCCCAGCCCTCCAGTGGCCGAGAGGCATGAGCACAGCCACACGGGTGTGGCATGAAATAATGCCCTGAATCCCAGCCACAGAAAGGAGTGAGGCCTGATACCACCGCAAGGATGCCGTGCTCAGCGAGAGACGCCGGACACAGAGGACACAGGGTGGGGTCCACGGACAGGAAACACCCAGGACAGGCAACTCCTGTCCTGGTCACCTGCCCTGTGAAGTGACCCTGGTCCTGCTCTGGCCTTGGTCACCTGCCAGGGAGGAGCTGGTGTCCTGTGTCCCATTGCAGCGCTGCAAGAGACAGGAAGTGGACACACGAGTGCTGGAACTGGGGAGGGGATGGGTGACTGCTAGGGAGGTGGATGGGGCTTCTTTTGGGGTGATCCAGTGTTCTGGAATGAAACAGAAGTTGTACAGTGTTGTGAATGTTCACTTTAAAATGGTAAATTTTGCTACACATGGTGGCACAGACCTGTCATCCCAGCACTCTGGGAGGCTGAGGCAGGAGGATCACAAGTCTGAGCCCACCCTGGGAAACTTAGTGACTTAGCAAGCAAGACCCTGTCTCAAAATAAAGAAAACATAGGGGCTGGGGATTTAGCTCAGTGGTTCCACTGCCTGCCTTGCAAGTGCAGGGACCTGAGTTTAATCCCCGGTACCAAAAAAAAAACAACCATAAAGGGGTGGGGATGGAGTTCATTGTCAAGGCCTTGGGTTCAATAACCAGTACTAAAAAAAAAAAGTAAATTTTATGTTATGCAAACTTCAGCTCAGTTTTGTTGAAGTGTGTCTAGAGGAGCCCAGCTTTGGGGCTCCTCAGTCGTGGCTGTGTCACCAGCGTGCAGGGGTCTGGTGTAAGGAGGGCTCAGAGCAGCAAGGAGACCTGAGGAGCAGAGGGAAGCCAGGGCCCCGGCTGCACTGTGTCTGGCGTCTCCATCCTGCCCCCAGGACCCTTGCTCAGCGCAGAGACCGAGAGGCACCGGGCACTGCCCTGGGTGTCAGGTGGAAGCCGGAGCTCCTGGTCCCATGAGGCGGGCACTCTGGGCAGACAGGACCCTCGCTCACAGGGACATGTGAGCCCACTGTCTCCAGATTCCAGATTTGCGTCACCGGGGCAGCTGGACGTGCACCACCTGCAGCTGCTGCAGCTCCGGCCTGCACAGCCACCTCTGTCACTTTGTTCTGCCAGCCATACCGGGCCCACACTTGGGTTTCTGTCCTGTGCAGGGAGGCAGGGCCTGTGTGGGCAGAACATCGCTGAGTCACATCTCTCCATGGCCTTTGGGGCTCCCCCCTCACAGCCCTCTCACCTCCCCACCTGCACATCCTTCTGACTTTTAGGTGTTGGAAGTCACATGGTCCTCTCTGGGTCACAGGGGTGGCGCCCAGCAGGCCCTGCCTGGCCTTTTCTTCTCCCCGCCCCCTGCCTAACCTTTCTCTCAAATGTCACCTGATCCTGTCACCAGAGCGAGCCCTGAGCTCCTAGGCTGCATGCAGGCTGCACCATGTGGCCCTGGTCACCTGCCAGGGAGGAGCTGGTCTCCTGTGTCCGTGTTGCAGCACAGCAAGACCTGCTGTGGCCGGAGCTGTCTCCCTAAAAAGCCCCTCTGTGCTCAGGGCTTCCTCTGCTCCGTGCTGAGTTCTTGAACCTCTTCCTGTTTCGGTTGGTGGCACCTCTGCCACTTAAGTGAGAGAGGGGAGGGGAGGGTCCAGGCACCGGGCTGGGCCTCGGATGGAAAGGATTCCCATACACAGCCCAAGTGGCTTTATTTCTCCTTCTATTAAAAAAATCATTGTATGTTATGGTATGTGTGCAGTTTGTAGTCTGCAGTTTTTTATGCAACATAAAATAGGTGTACCTTTAAGAGTACATTTGATTTTATGGTTTACATTTATCAAGTAACTTTCTAGAACAGTCATCTATCCAGTATATGTTCCTACGGAGTCCACCCTTGGTCTCTTTTGGTTAAATACTCCTATTAATTACTGAATTACTTGATGTGTGGAACTCCTAGACCCACTGGGAGGTAAGTCGATACCACCAGGGCCTGCCAGATTTCCTCTGAGGAGTAGCAGAGCGCGACTTCCTCACCTCCCAGGATGTCTGAGGGTCTCTACTACTACTAAGCTCAGACTGTAGCTCAGGCCACTACATAATTAAATTTCTACTTGTCCTGATGACACTTCCAAAATAGTGTTGGTATATTACAGAAGTTTGGTATTACGTTTCAGCTTATCTCATTGATTGGGTTGGTTGTTTGTAGTTTCAGTCCTGTGATAGCTACACTGGATTCATGTTCCTTTGCAGTATTTTGAGTTAGATGGTGTTTGGCAGAACGGCAATAAGGTTTTTCCTCATTTTCCTTTCAGAAGGACATGAATATGTTGATTGAAACTCCTTTACTCCTTATCACCTTAAACCAACATCTTTTTTCATAAATGTTGGTTGTGTTTGTCCAGGTACCTTCATTGTAACTCGTGTAATGTTTATGAATATCTGTATCTTAGGGCTTTCATAAATGGCTAGTTGATATTCAGAAACCTATTTCTGTGTTTTGAAGGGTGGGAAAAAAACCCTAAATGACAATTTGAGAAAGGCATATTCCTTCCAGACTCTAACTAACGTGTGGGAAAATACTTTTGCAATGAAAAGCTTGATAATTTACTGTGACAAGTAACCATTAGTTTATCAAAACTAACTTGTATACTAATAAATCTTTGCAACAGTAAAAAAAAAATTTTTTTTTTTTTGGTTTATTGAGACAAAATAAACTTTGTAGACAAAATAGACTTTGTAGTGCAGCCTGGCCTTAAACTCCCCAGGCTGGCTTCAAACTCATGGAGATTCTCCTGCCTCAGCCTCCCGAGTGCTGGGATTACAGGCATGTGCCACCACACCTGACTGTAATTGTTTTTCTTATGACCTTGCAATTTCGAGGTAGGCATGGTGCCACTGAGCTAAATCTCCGGGCCTCTGTAATTGTTTTAGAGCCTAACTCAGTGGCATTAAGTCCAGTTGTCCCTTGATATCAATGGGAAGTTGGTTCCAGGACCCCGTTCCCACCAGTACCCAAATCCCAGGACGCTCAAGTCCCTTCCTTAAAATGCATAGTGTTGCGGATGCAGCGATGTGCACCTATCATTTAAGCACTGTAGGAGGCTGAGGCAGGAGGATCCTAAGTTTGAGGCCAGCCTGGGGAACTTAGGCTGTGTCTCAAAATAGAAAAGGCTGGGAATATAGCTCAATGAAAGAGTGCTTGCCTATCATGTGTGAGGTCCTGGTTTCCAGCTCCAGTACTGTAGAAAGGAAGGGGGGGAGGGAGGGAGGTGAGAAAGAGAGACAGATCTGACTCATACATACAGAGAGGAAAAAGGCTTCTAACACTGGAGCAGAGGCTGGAGCGATGGGGCCACAAGCCAGGGACACCCAGGGCCCCCAGGGCCCAGAAGCTGGGAGAGGCGGGAGGATCCTCCCTGGGCCTCTGGAGGGCGTGCCCCAGCCCAGGCCTGGCCTTTGGACTTCTGGCTTTGGAACTGTAAGAAATAAATCTTTGCTGTTTCAAGCCACCAAATTCATATGATTCGTTTCAACCGCCACAGCAAGCTCATGCAGACCACTAAAAGGATGTGGACGCGAGCAACTGAAAGAATCATTCATCTAAATAAATATCCAACCAAATCATCCATCCCAGGATTCAGTTGCATTCTTGAGCCCACTAAGTCCTAATTTTATTTATTTATTTATTTTTGAGGCAGGGGCTTACTGTGTAGCCCAGGCTGACCTCAAACTCCTGTGGTCGTCCTGGCTCAGCCTCCTGAGTACTGGGATGACAGATGGACACCACGATCGGCAGAGGATTGTGTTCTGTACTCTGTTGTCTGCCTGGGAAAAGCATGCACATAGGAGACACGTCAAACAGGGACACCCCCTCATTCATGCTCAGTTCCCCATCTGTACAATGAATCTAACTGAGAAAAAACAACTCTAAAATCCCCGCCGCCCCCAACTCCCATGAGAAATCTGAGAGTGCAGAATGTGAAGGAGTGGAACTCCTCCTACCCACCTGGCCATCCTGGCTTCCGTGGCCCAGGTAGTTGGAGGGCTGGGTTTGCTTGGTTCAGCCACTGGGTCTTGGCTGGTCTCCCAGGCTGGCCTCCTGATGCACGGCCCTGAGCTTGCACTTCCCAGCCTGGAAAGGTGGCATTCCTCGGGCATCTCTGCCTGGCATTTCTGGCCCACAGAGCCCTGGATGTCTGTGCCTGCTACCTGGCTCCCTGCAACTGGTGGAGCCAAAAGGAAGAGCTTGGTTTGAAAGGCTATAGATTTCTTCAAGGACAGCAAAAATGTTTATCCTCTCTCTCTCTTTAGAAATAAAAACTGAACCTGGGTGCGACAGCGCACATCTGTGAGCCCAGCAATCTGGGAAGCTGAGGCAGGAGGATCTCAAATTCCAGGCCAGGTTGGGCTATTTTATTTATTTATTTATTTATTTATTTATTTATTGTACTGGGGATCAAACTCAAGACCTTGCACTTTCGAGGCAGGCATGGTGCCACTCAGCTAAATCCTCAGCTCTACACTATTTCTTTATTTATTTTACTTTTTGGAGACAGGGTCCCACTATGTAGTTCAGGCTGGTCTTGAATTAACTATGTACCCCAGGCTGGCCTCAAACTCAGTGATCCTCCTGCCTCAGCCTCCCAAGTGCTGGGATTACAGGCATGCACTACCATGCCCAAGGAAACATGGGCAATGTAGCAAGACCTTATCTCGTGAAGCTCAGTGTGAAGACCCTGGGCTCAGTCTCCAGTGCTGCAAAAAGAAAAGTAAAGCTGCCCTCCCTCACGCAGGAAGTGCTGGGCAGGTTGCCAACCATGTCTCTTGCACTTTCCGGGGCGGGGACCTCCGACCAGTCTGCTGTCCCGTGCTCGGCCCAGCATTGCTGATAATGGCTCCTACATCTTCTAGGGGTTAAATATCAACCAGGCTATAAAAGGCAAATCTGAGCGAAGAAAAAGGGCGGGCGACAGGAGCCACCCCCCCAGCTCCGCCTCCGGTGCCCTGTCCGCGCGTGCGTTAATTGAGCTCCTGGACCTGGGCGCGCGCTGGCACTATTGCGACTGCGCACGATTGCGATTGCCCAGCGTCTCTGGGGTCGCAAGCCCGCAGCCCCGCACCCCGCGCCCTGGGCCCCGGAGTCTTGGGAAAGGCCGGTGCGGCTGGGGCTGCGCCCAGGCTGGCGACTCCCAGGGACCACGAAGGCAGGCGGGGGCTGAGTCCGGCTCTCGCCCTTCGCAGAGGTAGGGCCTGAAGCCTGGCTTGCGGCCTCTTCTTGGAGCCCCGGGGCTTCCGTCCCTGGGGTCCTCCAAAAAAGCTGCTGCAACTCCTGGGAGCTTAAAATCACCTAGGGTTCTGCTATTATTATTGTTGTTATTATTATTACTATTATTATGTTTAGTCCTGGGCGTTGAACTCAGGGCCTTCATGCTGAGCCACACCCTCAGCCTTTTTTACAGGTTTTTGTTGTTGTTTTTTTTTTGAAGCCGTGGATGGAACTGAGGACCTTGCGCTTGCGGGGCAGGCGGCAGAACCACTGAGCTAAATCCCGGGCCCTTTTACAGTATCTTTTGAGACACGGTCTCACTCAGTTGCCCAGGCTGGGCTCCAACTTGAGATCCTCCTGCCTCAGCTTCCAAGTGTCGGGATTACAAACGTGCGCCCCCATTCCTGGCTCTGATGTCCTTATGAAAAGATGAGTCAGGGCCAGGCATGGAGGTGCATGGCTGTAATCCTAGCACTCTGGGAGGCTGAGCCAGGCGGACTGAAGGTTAGAGCCCAGCCAGGGCAATTTAGCAATTTAGGAGGAAAGAGCCTGTCTCAAAATACAAAGTTAATTAAAAGGAGCGAGGATGAGACAGTGCAAGGCCCCTGGGTTCAATCTCCAGTACTACAAAAAAAATTACTATGTTACTTTTCCTTTAAAAATGTAGTCCCATTAAATTTTTGTTGTTGTGTTTTGAGACAGGCTCTCCCTATGTAGTCCAGGCTGTCCTTGAACCTAATATATAGTCTAGGCTGGCCCTAAACTTGCAGTAATCCTCCTGCCTCAGCCTCCCAAGTGCTGGGATTACAGGTGAGCACCACCATGCCTAGCTTTTAAAAATATTATTTTACCATTTAATGGATTACATTAATATTCGGTGGGATTATACCTAGAACCTAGGGTAAACACAAGCAGTTTGGGGCACTCAGTAGCTTTTATTATTATATCTACATAGGATATACACTTTGATAGAATAGCTTTATTGAAATACATATCATGCAATTCACTTAAAGTATACAATGAAATGGCTTTTTTTTAGTTCCAGAACATTCCATCACCCCAGAAGGAAGCCCTATCCATCTCCATAGCAGTCACCCCATCTCCTTTCCAGCCCTGGCACCCCCAAGTCCACTTCCTGTCTCTGGAGTCACATGTCCTGGGCGTTTCCTGTCCGTGGAGCCCATGCTCTGTTCTCTGTGTCTGCCCGTCTCTCACTGAGCACGGCGTCCTCAGGGTCCTTCCACGCTGTGGCGAGTGTCTCGGCCTCATCCCTCTTCCTGGCTGAGTGATATTCCAGCGTGTGGATGGAAGGATGGATGTTGCTGTGTGTCTATCTGCCCATTGATGGACACTTGGGTTCTTTCCACTTACTCAGACTGATGCTGTCATGAACATTCCTCCTCATGTTGTCATTGCTCTTGGGCAGATTCCTGGGAGTGGAATTCCTAGTCCTAGGGCTACTCGCTGCTTAAGCCCTTGAAGAATTGTCAGGCCATTTTTCAATCAGCTGTATCATTTTCTGTCCCCACCAGCTCTAGTTTTGCCACATCCTGGCTGATGCTTTTTTATTTTCTGTTGCTTTGGTGATACCCATGCTGATATGTGTGAAGCAGTGTCTCCCATGGTTTCGATTTGCCTTTGCCCAGTGCCCCATGACACCAAGCAGCTTTTCCTCTGATTCTTAGCCATTTGTGTATCTTCTCTGGAGAAATGTCTTTTCATATCCTTTGCTCTTTTTCAAATCCTGGTGTTTGTCTCTTTATTGTTGAGTTATGAGACTTCTTCATATGGTCCAGAGCTACATTTGATTTGCAAATCCTTCCCCCGTTCTGTGGGGAATCTCTTTACTTTCTTGTGGTCATCCTTTGAAGCATAAAAGATTTCATTTTGATGAAATCTGATTTACCCATTTTTATCATGTTGCTTGTGCTTTTGGTGTCAGATCTAAGATTTTGCCTATATGTGGATTAAAAAAATTTTTTTTTGTATTATAGGTTTACAGGTAATAGCAAGGAAATCTATAAGGAGGCCCCAGTGGCCCCTCCACAAAGTGTCTTACACAACTATGGTACTAGTGCAAATCCAGGAGGCTGACTGGAACAGTGCATGGAATTCATCTGGATTTCACTGGTTTTACATGTGTGTGTGACTGTGACATTTTATGAAACATACAGCCTCAGGAATTTTTTTCTCAGAGTGTCAGTGGGTCCTGAAACCAAAAACTCAGAATCACCAGCACCAAATAATAATTTCAAGAATCTCCCTCATCTTGATTCTTCATCTACCTTTTGAGGCAAATGTAACCACTTGCTTCTTTTACAGATGAAAAGCCAGAAAACAGATTCAAAATCACTTTCCTAAGGTCCCACAGCCAGTGATGCATGGCAGTTGGGTTTGTGTGGGAACTGGAGCCTCCCACCTCTTTGCTGCTAGAAGGTGGTTCCTCCAATTTAGCCAATTTTGGAAGAGTCCACTGTACTGTCACCTGCAGAAGCAGATGGCTTGCAGGTAGAAGCCATGTGTTTGAAAATAGTGATAGAAATAGCATTACCCACTGGAGAGCTTTTCACTTAGCGTTTTTGAGATAGACTGAATGAAGGAATTGTGAGTTGCATCTCCCATCTCGCTGCAGGTGTGCACCCTGTGAGTGCCATCGCAGAATGGTAGGTAAACGAACGAACTGTAAGTTGCATCTCCCATCTCTCTCTGGGTGCACACCCTGTGAATAGAATTGCAGAATGCCAGGTAGAATTCTCCACTCTGTCCAAAAGCCTTCTTTGTGTTTTATTGTCATCCAGCTTTTGATGGTAGAGGTTATGGCATTGACACTCACACTGTGACACTCACCTTCAACCCTCCAGCCTCCGAAATGCAGCGGGCACCTCCTGATTGCAGTTATCTCAATTTTCCCAAATTGAATCCTATCGAAAGTGCATTAAGAACATTCACAGAGAGGCCGGGGATTTAGCTCAGTGGTTTCGCCGCCTGCTGCGCAAGCACAAGGACCCAAGTTCGATCCCCAGTACCAAAAAAGAACATTCACAGCGAGGTTGGGGAAAACTGAAGATCCAAAAGATGGATCAGGAAGCTTGGCTTTGAGGAGAAGAGACTATTTTCAGTGTTATTGCTGTCATGACCACATTCCCACTCACTTACTGCTCATTTCTCTAAAGTTCTGCCCAAATGCTTCCAAAGTAATTAGGCATCTGGAGGCTGCAGATGGGAATTATTCCACCAGCCATAAAATGAGAAAAAGAACAGACTTTATTACTTGCACAATGCTTAGTGGGTCTTCTGCATCCAGTACTGGAGATGGACCCCAGGGCCTTTGCACTGAGCTACATCTGACCTTTTTTATTTGGAGATAGGGTTTTGCTAAATTGCCCAGGCTGGGCTCCAATTTGAGATCATCCTGCCTTGGCCTGGAAGGGTGCCGGGATGATAGGTGTGCTCCACCACACCCAGCCCTTTTCCCCAGTGGTGAGGGGAACTCTGTCTAGAGGATTGCTGCCCCCCAGAATCTAAGAACTGCAGGTGAGGCAGATCCTTGGATTGTATGGCAGGAAGTTTGTTTCTGTCCTTCTGGGCACTTGTGTGACATTTCCTGCGCCTCCAGACTGTCTCTGAGCTGTGATGTTACCAACCAAACCTGGGCACAGCGATCACTTGATGCCTTAGCAGAATTGCCCATTCGTCCTGGACTTTGGTAAGAGCTTGGGCCCAAGGCCCATCAGCAGAGCTCCCAGCTGTTCAGAAAGCCCTTAACCTGCTGTCCTTCCTGGGTGTGGGCAGCACACGCCTGTCATCCCAGCACTGTGGGAGGCTGAGACAGGAGGATTTCAAGTTCCAGCCCAGCCTGGGCAAATTATGACTTAGCAAGACCTTGTCTCAAAAAAAAAGGGCTGGGGATGGAGCTCAGTGTGAAGACCTGGGTTCCATCCACAGTAGCACAAGTAGTCTGCAACCCGCTGGATTTATTGTGCCTCATGTAGCCAGCTGGGAGGAGGAGGGGTCAGCCCTGTAGTCTTTCCTCCACCACACTGGAAACCCGGCTCCTCCAGGAGGCAAACACCGGGGGTGGGGGGGGGGGGGGGTGTCTGCGGCAGGGACTTCGGAGGTCACGACCCAGCCCCGGGGGGCGCTCAGGTAGCACCAGGGGCGCCAGGCAGGGTCCCCAGGCTCGTGGCCAAGGACGCTCTCTACCAACTGCAGGAAGCACGGCCCCCCTCCCCGGTGACGGTGACGTCTGCCTTTCCCACCCAAGGCGCCCCCACCCCTGCTAGGTGACCTCATCGAGCCGCCGCCCAGGGGAACTATATGCTAGAAACGGAGCTTTCCAGTTTCTGGAGCTGCTTCCAAACACTATGCTTTTTTCTAGCTTGATGTGAGCTGGGAGTTACTCAATTTCTTAACCTTAAAAAATATTGCAGAAGTAACATTGGCTCACTGTAAGTCAGAATGGGCTCCAACTTTTTGTTTGTTTTTTTTGTTTTGTTTTTTGGTTTTTTGGGGACTGGAGATCAAACTCAGGTCCTTGCACTTGCGCAGCAGGCAGCGAAACCACTGAGCTAAATCCCCGGCCCTTTTTGTTTGTTTTGAGACAGAGTCTCGCTATGTAGCTCAGGCTGGCCTCAAACTCGTGATCCTCCTGCCTCAGCCTCCTGAATGCTGGCACTGCAGGTGTGGGCCACCACGACCGGCTTTCAGACATTTTTTTTTCCACATGATCATGTCCATTTTCAGCCTTCT